TCAATATGAAATGGCTCTGATACCACTTGTTGGAATTAACCTTATGCGAAAAACATCGCATACTAGATATCGGAAGCGTACCTTAGGTGGATTTATAGATCTGATCACCATGGAACATGTTGGACCACGAACACATCCTCGATCAGGAACGGTGTTGGTTTTATGGTCTTCCTCAACTAAATCGCCTTATTGCTCAGATGAGACCGTCGTCTTCTTTCAGATGGGGAGAAAGGAAAACTGTATTTGATTTAATATATTGGGGACCATAACCAAGAGGGTCTATATATACTAATAGGTAGACCACCCATTATCACCTAACCCTAGTAATATTAGGTATCCACTCATTAAGTTCATATCCATTTATGTAGCCCATGAACTCTACTTAATTTAGATCACCTAATTGAGTCCATTAATTAATTGAATAGCTAATATAATATAATTGTATATAATATGTTGCCCATAATTAGATTATACATAGGAAATAAAATATTTCCTAACCAAATAGAACTCAATTTAAATAGGAAAATGCTCTCAACTAGGAAAATGCTACATGCACGTAATAAATATACATAAAGATGTACATAATGAGTATTATGTACACTTCTACATACAATATTATGCGACTAACTAGAAAAATGCTACATGCACATAATAAACGTACATAAAAATGTACATAATAAGTATTACGTACACCTCTATATACAATATTATGGCGACTATAGCATTTTTAATTTAACTATATGCAGCATCCATATCAATTTAATTAAATTTCAATCTGTATTTAAATCAAGATTTAATAGTGATATGTCATGTTCAGTTATTAATGCGAAAGACGCATTCATTGCATTGGGCATGGCCTGCTGTTGATGATATTAAAGTGAGGAGAAATATGTGGCCCATTATATCTATTATTATATATCTGAATACAACAAGCCCATAAACGAATTTATTGTCAAATATTTTTCTTAGCACTGTTATGAAATACGGGGAATATAAAGAACACAATGTATAGAAACCGGAACAAATTATAAACTGCTTTATTCACTCTTCCGCTTACTCAAAAATGTGCACTGAAATGTACTACAATTGTTGCCTTTTTATAGGCAAACATGGCACATTCTTCAATACATATATTAATATAATAATGAAGTGATAATGTGGTTAATTCCACATATTTACAATACTCCCCCTTGGAATTACCACTATTAAATGTGCGTTTATGTGCCTCGTTAAAAACCTTATCTGGAAAAACCCTGTGGGAAAAAACCGAGACAAGGAAAAAAGAGTACAGCCGCACACACTCCCCCTCGAGTTATCATCCGTGCAAATCCCGAAGATGTCTCATTCCAATATTGTGCACGTGCTTTCGAAATATTGTCGTCGGAAGCGCCTTCGTAAACAAATCTGCTGCATTATCGCTTGATCGGATGTATTGAACTTTGATTTGTTTGTTTCGTTCAAGCTCTTGCGCATATAAGAATAACTTTGGCGGGATATGTTTAGTTCTGTCACTCTTGATGTATCCTTCTTTGGTTTGAGCGACATGCTGCATTGTCTTCGTATATCACCGTTGGGTCATTATTATTTGATAGTCCACTGGCTTGTTGAATGTGTTGAGTCATGTTTCTGAGCCAGATACTTTCCCTAGTTGCTTCATGGAGTGCAATGATCTCAGCATGGTTTGAAGACGTCGTGACTAATGTTTGTTTTTGGGAGCGCCAAGAAAATGCAGTTCCGCCAATCGTAAAAAC